TGGTATTATCATTTCTGCTATGTGCAAGTGGATGATTGGTTTGTCTGACATTTGAAAAGTCCTATTTATTACAGCTCTCAAGTTTGTAAGCTGCTATTTGACTGGAGTACATGGGTGGATGTATCCTGTTTGTATTTCTAATGGAGTATTTAATCCTAATGGGTAGAATTATACATGAAAACATCTTTAGCACAAGATCTAGACTGTCTTCTTTTTTTTATTTTTATTCAAGGTAGATGTTGTCTGGATGACCTTAAAAAAAAATCCTTATCTCAGAAAATAAATGCCTTTAGTCACATTACAAGGGAAAATGGTTCTGTTTCCTTGATTGTACTCGACACAGTATCTTTGAAATTAATCTTGAAAAGTTCTCTGATTGATCTGGCTTTTTCTAGGTCACAGAGCTATATTTCCAAAGTGTTTATACAATCTATTGGAATCAATAAACAATTTAAACTGATGTAACTGCAGAATGTTTGCAAGTCCCAGGGAAAATTGAAAGTATGACAAAGAATACAGCTGGAGAAGTTTATTTCGTTTATCAGGACAAACAGTCATTGAAGTGAAATGACTTTCCTTTCAACATTGCAATACGATAGTGACACCTTAATCACATAAATAAGTAGCTAGTCGTTTTAAAAACTCATTATTAGTGATTTTGGGCAAGTGGAATCCCTTTATTTATACAGCAAGAAGCTAAGCTGTGCTCTAAAGCCTATTTTTTATCAAATGTTTCCAGTAGGAGAGTTAGAACATCGTAAAAAAGGTTTCACTTCAAATTATGCCTGTTACATTTCAGGCATGATTTTATTTTAGTTTGAGTTTTCCTTGGCTTAAATATTAACATGACTTTAAATGTGAATTGGACTCTGTAGTTATTACTGAAATTAGACAATTGCAGTACTAAAAAAACTATTTTAAAAGAAGCTGATACTGTTTGTAATTGCACTTAAGGTTTAGATTTTTTTTTTCTCTCTTTTTTTTTTTCTTCTTTTTCTTTTTTTGGTAAGTTAAGTTCAGGGTCTGTGCTAGTGGTTCACATTTCTTATGCCACAGCGCACACTAGTGGATTGATCAATAAAATCACCTAAAGAAGGAAAGCTAATAGTTCTTGAATTAAGTACTTAAATCTTCTTCCTGGAAACATAGCCACATATTTTCAAAATGAATACAATAGCAAGCTGCGTTTTCTTTTGTTGTGGTTTATTTTTTCTGCCAAAAGTAAATACATTTATTTCCAAGGATATCTGTAAATTTAAGATTAATAACAATGATCTGAAATCTTACATATGAATTTCATAAAATATATTTCCCAAAGGCAGTCAGTCTGTTCCAACTTCTTTTCTCAGTGCCAGCAACCTGGATGTTGAAGGAACAGCAGCTGTTGTATAAATAAGAGAAAAATGCTGTCACTAAATGGGTCTATCTTTTATTTGTCAAATGGGAAATGACTCACTCTTACTACATCAAGGATTCATATTTTTAAACATGCATTTCAGGGGTTGTGTAATATTAGTAAATGCTTGGAAATGCTAATGGAAAGTCATAAAATGACTTTTTATAGAAGGGTGTGCTAGTGATAGGGCATATGCATTGGAATGCAGGTCATCAAACTGGGTTTGACTGTGTTGGGAAAGTCAATGTTCCTGGTTGCTTGAGGGACTTAGACATCTATTTCTTTAAAGGCAATGCTTTCCTGCCCTGACAAAATTTACAAACCATTTTGCTTTCTTTTAGGAGAAGTTCTGTGAGATCTTTTAGTGCAACAGATTGTTAAATTCTTGTATGCAAAAGAATGAAACAGTATGGATTTGCCATACGTGCTGTTGGGTATTAAACTGATCACAAATGTTCAGGATTTTAATAGGAATGTTACAGCCAACTTTGTGAAGATTCTTCCCTGTAATAACCCAAAGATAAGCAATGGTAAATGTCATTAGATATATGGAAAATACATCCCCCTGTAGATTATATGATTCATCTTTCCAGTTCTGTGTCACTTTTTGGCACCCTTTCTTCAAGAAAAATAGAAGCATTCAGAAACAGACAGATTGTTTTAACTCATAAACAGGCTGAAAACATTTGGCATCTTTAGAACAGAGATATTTCAGAAAGGTAAGCAATCATTAGTTAATCCAAATTAGCTGATTAGGTACAAGAAAATGGAAGGAAGTTACTCAAATGCAGAGAACTGGTCACTCTCTACTTACAGTTCTGTCTCTGGTAGTAGAGGGAACGGTCTAAAATATTGCAAAGTGCTCCCAGCCATGCCTGTTACCTCCAGGGCAGCCTGGCACCTCCCATTTTCAGGATCTTGCTTCCATTAATACTGACATTGCCAAGTTACGTGGTTTGGACCGAAACTTCCTACATGTATTTGCTTTGCTCTTTTTGGAAGGAGCTGTTCAGTTATTTTTAGCTGTATTGAAATGTCTGGAAGTTTGCTGAAGGTAAACTAAGCCAGGCATGACTGGATTGGGAATTTCAAAATGACAGACTGGATAACACAGGGAATGTGAGAAATTGGAGAGGACAAGAGGGGTTTGCAGTCACAATCCCACAGACCCATCCAGAGCTCACTGCAGAACCTCAAGGTTCAGAGTCGTGATGTTTCTCTGCTGCATCCAATCTGTGAAGCCTCCTAGCAAAGCAAGATTTTATTTCCTTGGTGCAAAATCAGGTTCTCAGAGGTTAGGAGGATGGAAGGAAAAAGACTATAGCCCCAAAAAGGTCTAAAGCAGGTGTTCTTGATCGCAGCGCTGGGTGCATGGGGGATCACTCCTTCCATATACACACACCAATGGACAAGGACAGCACATGTTTATTCACTTTAAAATATGCATTACTTAACAAAGAAATAGGCAGGATTATTTTAGAATTAATTAAATAAATTTTAGAATTAATTAACTCAGATTAATAGCTAATATTATATACTAATATACACACGCTGCCTCTGGGTGGGCATGGGCAGGGGTCTCCTGGAGGAAGGCTCGTAGTCTTCTTCGCTGTGCTGGGTCATGTTGTTCCTCATTCTGGCAGGCTAGCTGATGTACCCAGCTGAATCCTACTTCTTGGGCTCTCAGCCTAGTTCAACACAATACCTCTAACAAATATTAACAGATTCTACTGTTCAACATCATATAAGTCTGGCAAATGTAATCCTTAAGTCTCTAATTCAAGGAAACATTGAAACAAAGATCTTGGGTAGGTGCCATGTCTGTATCCACTGTGATGAGATTGTGTAAATACACATTCAATTACTTCTCCTTAGTAATTCTTTAGTTAGGATGATCTCTCTCTTTTTTATTTTCTTTTTCCTTTTTTTTTTTTTTTTTTTTTGAGAAGACATTTTTGAGTGTACTAACCTGTGAAAGTTGGTGTGTAAAAGATCCTATTCTTAACATCTTAGTTGCCTCCCCTAGCAGTCTGAGAATAACTACTGCTGTGAAATTTCTGCCAGCTTCTGAACTTGATAAGCATGAGGGGTGGTTTTTTTGTTGTTGTTGGGGTATTTTTTGTTTGTTTTGTTTTGTTTTAGTGAAGTGAAAAAGGAATAACTCTGTTGCTTGGCATAGAAGGGTAGAACAGGTTGCCCAGAGAAGTTGTGGAAGCCCCATCCCTGCAAGTGTTCCAAGCCAGGTTGGATGGGGCTTTGAGCAACCTCCTCTAGAGAAGGTGTCCCTGCCCATGGCAGAGGAGTTGGGACTAGGTGATCTTTAAGGTCCTTTCCAACCCAAACCATTCTATGATCCTGTGAAAATCCAAAAGTAACTGTTTTAAGTCACCCATATCAAGCAAGCTACTTGTTTTTTAATGTAGGAAAAAAAAAAAAGCAACTTAAAATGCAGTTCTGTCTTCTGAAATAAAGATTGTGACTTTGCAGGCTTTTAACTCCATGGACTTTCCAGTTTGCATGCATTGAGGTTATCTTCTTTATTTATTCCACTGAAAAACATTGCATATGTGTAATACTTCCTTTAAAATATAAAAATGAAACCTGCTAACTGGGAGTAGAATAACTGTATAGTTTTTCTATTCTGTAGGGACAATACAAACATTATAGAAATATTACTCAGGTTACAAAATCATCATTTTCTGGTTTGTATCTTCTGTTGGTATTGTGGATACATGCTGTTTATGCACAGCTTGGTAATGTTTCTTTACTTGTACCCCAGAGGAGAAAAAGAATCAAATCTAAACATTGTGTATGTTCCAAGCAGAGGGCCTGCTTCATCATTTTCAGAAAAAAGAAATGTGAGTCAAAAGCATGGTTGAGCTTTTCAACAAAAAAATATTTCTTCTGATTGTTTTTCCTCTCCCTCTTGCAGATTTAGCTCTGCTTGGCCTTCACCAGCAAATGGAGAGGAGATCCATAAAAGAATTAAAAACATTTTAAGGACACACAGTGCCAGACAGCGCCTGATACTTGTAAGTTTAACTGCAAACTAAATCCTTTCTTTTCTCGGAGATGATGGAGGAAGATAACTGTGCCTACAGTCCTGGATTTATTATAAAAGTTGTCCTTTAAGGCAGCCTTGCTTGTAGAAATATGGATTCAGTATATAAGCTGAGCAGTTTCATGTTGATTTCAATAGCCTCCTTATGTGTAGCCTTGATGGACACCTGGTATAGGTAACCTTGTCACAGGGCATTGGGAACATTTTTTTAAAAAATATATATCTGGTTCTCCACTTCCAATTTAAGCAAAAAAATATTGTGGATCTGTAGAACATCAAGGCTTAACATGTTGTGTAGCTGCACATCAGCAGCTGCTTGTGTCCAGCTCTTTGTAGAGATAATGTTATTCTTCACATGTGTGCTTTTTTCCCTTAATTACCTGGCTTTCAATGAACAGATCTCTTTATCTGATGAGATTATGCCTGGGATCAGAGTATTTTGTCATTGACTCTGATGGATTTTTGAAGCCTGGTTTTAGGCAGATACACATTTTTGCTGTTGTGATTTTGAGAAAGCCAGTGGTGGCACATGATCTCCTTGGCCAAAATGTTGTACAACTGAGTAACAAGGTTGTTCATCTGTAAAGAACTTAAGGTCTTAAGTGTGAGGTGAGGTAAAAAGATGTAAGGATGAGAGGTAGGTAAGATTAAGATAAGGAGCTTTAGTGCAATAATTATTTTTTCTGACAATCTAACACACATTATTGATTTGTTAGAAGAGACATGAGCCTCTCGAAGTGGAGGAAAACATCTTTCCTCCTTCAGCTTCTCCTGAGTCTTGACAGAAACATGCTTTTGAATGTTAATGCAGCTGTAAGGTACTCACTGCTGTCCCCAGTTGTCGCCCTGCCGTAGCTCGCTGTATCAGCAGGCAGTGTGACAAGGGTGTGAGACCCCAGGCCTTCCCGCAGAAACCAAAGGCACTGGCACATGAGCTCTACAAGCTGGGATGTGGTGACTCCGCTGGCTACGCTGAAGCCATAGTAGAAGTGAAGGTTGTTGTCTCAGTCTGCTGGTGCAGGGTGTACTGAAGAACATCCATCTTAGCTCTGAAGTCTTTTCCCTTTTTTTTCCCTTTTCCTCCTTTACTTTTTTTCTTTTCTTTATTTCCCCAAGTTTAGCCATCCTGGGCACCTCCTCCTGTTGCCTGCATCCTCTCATAATCTGATTGTTTTCTCATTTCTGTTCAGTCTTCATTTTTAGCTTAGTTGTGGTGCTTTTTGTTTTCAACTTTGCAAAACCTTTTCTCCTACATGCTAACACTGTCTGATCCGGTTCATTCTATACCTCCCTCAGCTTGTAGATGAATGTTATGATCTTGTGAGCTGCTGCCTCTGAAATAGAAGATGCCTGTCACAGATTTCTGTGTTTCAGCCACTCCAAAATAGGTACAAATCATGTCAAACGCTTCTCTGATGTTTCAATGAACATAAGAGAAGAAATTGAATTTCCTGACGGTCCAGCACCTACATGTAATGAAAGTTTGCACAGCCTGAACTATCTCCAGTGGTCCTTGACTGCTTTCCTTGAAAAGCAGACCGTGACTTTGGGATAGAAGATTTACTAGTTTGTTAGGAGAGCTGGATGGCTGGTTACACAGCCTCTCCATACAGTCATAAAGAGTATTAAATATAATAATGGTTAAAGGAGAATTTGATCATTTTCTTCCTATTTACTTATTTTACTTACATAATTTAAAATGGTCTGGCCTAGAATCATTCACACGTCTGCTGATGACATACACTTATGACTTACACCTTCAACCTGGTTTAGTGGGAGGTGTTCCTGCCCATGCCAGGGGTGTTGGAACTAGATGATCTTTAAGGTCCCTTTCAATTCAAACCATTCATGATTCTGTGATATTCTCTTGATCCTGCAGTATTGCACAAATGCCCACAAATTTGCAGGTGTGGCGTGTGATTTTGAAGCGTGGTGCTTTCTGTTAGCTCACCTTGTCACTGCCACTATCAAACTCTTGCTGAATACTCACAGAGGTTAATAATCAGAGATGATGCTTCTCCGTTTCCTCTCCCATTGGAAAACCTCATGTTTCTGCCCTAAAAAATCCAGATATCCTGGTATGGGGTAGGCTTTAGAGTCTTTAATTAGCCTGGTCAGAACAGTGCTGGAAAAGGAGCATTTTCCTGCCTCCATTTTCTTTAACTGAGCAAGGAATGGGAGAAGGTTACAAAGAAGTCTCTCAGTGTTTGATAGTCATGCACAGCTAACTTATGAAATCTGTGCTAACAGCAGCTGACCTGCTTAAAAAAAATTCAGGTCTGCTTCTAGTGGGTACTGTAAATACACCAGGATTGGTTGTGCTTCCCCAGATGGCCCAAAGTCTAGGCTGCTGTGGATGGAAGAGGTAAAGTGGTCATCTGGAGTATGAGGGGATAGTAAAGTCAGTGCACTGGCAATGAGGTGAGTAGATTTCGGCTCCAGTCTGGGTCCTCTTCCAAACTTTGAAAGGTTAAAGAGTATCGCTTAGTGTTTCATTCCAAAGGGCTTAATGCTAAATAACCATTCCCAAAAGCATCCAGCTGTGTTTTCCAAAATTTTGTTTCCATAGTGCTCTGTAAAAACACTGTGACTGGAGCTGTGCTGCAGATTCCTTAGGGTGTCCAGTGCAGCGTTTCTGCTGTGACATTCTGACAGTATCAGAATGTTTCTATCTCAGCAGCTGACCTGCTTAAAAAAAATTCAGGTCTGCTTCTAGTGGGTACTGTAAATACACCAGGATTGGTTGTGCTTCCCCAGATGGCCCAAAGTCTAGGCTGCTGTGGATGGAAGAGGTAAAGTGGTCATCTGGAGTATGAGGGGATAGTAAAGTCAGTGCACTGGCAATGAGGTGAGTAGATTTCGGCTCCAGTCTGGGTCCTCTTCCAAACTTTGAAAGGTTAAAGAGTATCGCTTAGTGTTTCATTCCAAAGGGCTTAATGCTAAATAACCATTCCCAAAAGCATCCAGCTGTGTTTTCCAAAATTTTGTTTCCATAGTGCTCTGTAAAAACACTGTGACTGGAGCTGTGCTGCAGATTCCTTAGGGTGTCCAGTGCAGCGTTTCTGCTGTGACATTCTGACAGTATAATGTTTCTATCTTTTTTTTTTTTTTTTTTTTCTTTCCAGAACATAATTTGCCTCTGGCAAATGCTGCAGATTTTATTTATCACTGGACTCCATTTCCTCATCAGTGCTTTGTTGTCTGTGACTGCTGAAGGAGGAGAGTTTTCCTGTTTACAAACACACTTATTGCCTTGTATTTCACCATAACAAATTGAGTGTGTTTTTCTCTCATCCATGCACCTGCCATTCAGCTTCCTCTGCATCTTATTGCCATCTACAGCTGTATTTATTGCCATTTCTCCTGGTTTTGCATTACTAGCAAGCATGATTATTTCTACTGCACAGGGGTTTTTTCTCCAGTTATTTCTTCTGTAGCATGAAAGATGATTTTGTTTACTAATCCTTACAGCAATTGACTTCTGCTAAAAGCATCACCTCTTAGGTAGGGTCTTTGCTCTTTAGAGTAGAGCAGAGGTGATTGTGTGTGTGGTGGAATTTCTACCATCCTAGCTCAGGTGAGCAGCTGGCTCCCTTCACATGAGATGTTTTGTTTCTTACTTACCTAAGAGGGCAAACATGGGTTAATTAGTGTCTAGATAGCATTTGGAAGGTAAGAGTTCTTTGCTGTGACTCCTGAGAATACCACTGAAGGCTCATTAAATGTATCATAGGTATTTTTTAAAGTTGGGTAAGCATGTTCTCAGCCCTGTACATGGAATTGAGGTATTTAGATGTGTAGAATTCTGTCTGGTCAAATGCATTACATGGATAATGATAGCTCATTATAAGAACAAAGAATAAGTTGCAGCTTCTTTTTCCCCTCTTCTGGAAGAAACAGAAGTAAGGCAGCGAGCAGCAGGTTTCATAGCATTTAACCAATGTGTTTATTGGGGATTATTGAAGTTTGTGCTGTCTGTATAGTTCTTTAGATCTACATTGTCTAGAAATTCTTTCCAGTTTATTACCTGAAAATTATTAGCTGAGTTGTGCTGAACTTAATTAAAAGTGTTCATAAATGGCATTTGGCTCATTACACCTCGTCCCTTTCTCCCCTAAGAAATGTAAGCACTTTAATAGTTTTCTTCTAAATAGGAAGAAAGTATTTTTGAAATTAGATCATTGTAATCAGAAACCAGTGTAATGAGAATTTAATTCCTGGTTTTCTTTTTAGGATGAGAGTGACGCATCAAAAGGAGACTTCAGGAAGACAACAGAATCTTTGCATGAAGCACCTTTATCCATGAGGGAACTGCAGAGCAGGTATGGAGTTTTTGTCTGACCAAGGCAGAACACTCATGCTCATGATATTGCCCTTTAAAGTTGGCTAAAAATGTGTCTTCCTATTTTGTGCTGTGTAATATATTGCATTGGGAAAAAACTTAGTTGGTCCTACCAAGCTTTTTCACCTAAAAGGCAAACATGGTTAACTATCATTATGCCTTTTATGCTGTTTGGCACTGTGTCAGTAGTCTGCATAAACCACTGATTTGGGAACTGGATTGGGTCATAAAAATGATCCTTGAGCAGTAGTTTTTTGGATTTTATCAAGCAGAGAGCAAATGTCAGTTTAAAAATAACCAATCGGTTATTTTTTCTTAAAGCTGTGGGAGTGCAAAAGTAAATGGAAGTTTGTTTAATAACATAGTTTGGGGCTATTTTGTTAGTGGTGGGGCTTTTTTCCAAAACATATATTTGGAAAAGGGAGGCATTTTAAAATACACAGCAAGTAAATATACTCTGGTTTAGTGCATTAGGAGGCTGCATTTCAGGAGGCATCTTGAAAACCTGACACCCTGAAAATCTGGTTTATCTAGGTTAGTTATTCTGTGCACTCCTCACGTTCATGAGTAGGATATGATTTTAATATTTTACTTAAAAGACACCAACAGCATGGATTTTGACAACTTCTGTAGTAGAAATATCAATATTGATGTTCTCTATGAACAGAGTGTTTTGTAAAATATTTTGGGTACATGTTGGAGGAAAGATACTAAGTAATGTAAAACATTGCAAGGTTTTTCTGGTTTACTTTATATTAAGAGAGAAGTCCTGGAGCTGTGATGCTAAATTTGTGAGGTGCTGACATTATTTTCATAATTCAATGTGATGCAATATTTTATAAGAAATGCTTCCCAAATCAGTGCTGTGCACCACTGGCAGGAGGGTAAATTGGGTGTCATAGCAAACTCCTGCTTGCAATTCCTAAGCTCTAAAATCTTCATTTATGATTTGTTGGCTTTAAAAAAAAATCCCTGTGATTTGTAGTCACCTCTGCACAAGGGATCTAGTTAGTCTTAGATTTTCACAGGTATGTGAAGTTGCTACTGACACTGTTAGCGTTTTTCTCCCTGTGCTTACTCCTGTATTCTGCAGGTAGCCTTTGTGCTCCTTTATCCTTTGTCCTGACAGCTGCTGCAATTAAATTGTGTAAGATGTGTCTGTGAGAGAGAAAACACAAGTTTTTGTTTTGAAGCAGCTTTGAGACTTTGATGCTGAAACTGCAGCCTGTGGAAAAAAAAAAAAAAAAAAAAGAAGAAACAAATCCTAATGCACCAGAGTCAGGAAGTGATGGGATATGAAATGTGGCACTCAAGTTGGGAAAGGACTTAGTGCTTGGGTTTGGAGGCAGGCAGCACTTGTCCGTTTCACTGGAGGGCAAGACATAAAAGGACTCGAGGACAGTCTGATTGCTGAGTGTTGCCACAGTGCTCATCAACAGGACACAAGGACAGAGAGTTCACAGAAGGACATGGTACTGTCAACCAAATGCTGGCAGTAAAGTAGATGATTGAAAACCACTGGGAGTGAGGAAAAGGTCTGTGTTTTGTGAAATATTTAGTATATGATTCACTCAGAAAAGAACTTCTGGGACTCTTCAAGGAGATGTATGAGGGAACAAAAGCATATGACAGGTATTTCAGAGCAGGGAGTTGCATGCAGAAATCCTGCTGTTAATATGATTTGTGAATGTAATTCCCAGATTGTTTAGCTCAGGTTGTCAACTGGTTTCCAGTGGAGACAAGAGAAGAACTCTTCCCTGGCTTGGTTCTGTCTTTGTCCACACCAGTGCTAGGTACCTCATGTGCAAAGACTGCTTAATGGAAATACATACACACACATACACCTCTCCAAAGAAAGAAGAGAAAACGAAGCTTATGTCTTTTTTTAAGTCTTTGTCCTTACCAGAGCAAGTTACTATTGTTTTTGTGAGTCTTCAGTCCAGTTAAAGTGGTTGGATTTGCAGTGTCTCAAGCTTTTAGTAGCGGAACAGGCAAGCACAAGGCTGACTGCTGGAAATGGATTCCAAGGAAAAGAGTGTCAAAGCTGTTGATTTTGTTTTTTGGTAGGTTGGTTCCTTTGTGTCTAAACTGTGAAGCGCAGTTCACCTTCTCCAGGATGATAAAGAGTTTTAAATTTTCTTCATGCTCTTGACTGACTTCAGCTGTTGGTGCTTTTTTTTAAAAAGTGTGAAGGTGGCCTTCCTCCTTTTTCAAGACTGGAGCCACATAAAAGTCTTCTCGTTGTTTTATGTGGTTTACGTTGGCATCACCATAATATCTGAATGTAAGAAATCTAAAAGCAAAAGCTGTTCCTTCTTTTGCTTTTCACAGAAGAAGCTTAGAAATGTGAAATTAGAAAATGGATCCTACATCATCTTCTTTCCTCACCATCTTCCTTACTTTAAGTGGGAAAAAAAATGTGTTTAGATGCAGCTAGCTAGAAGTGTATTTATGAGTCTTTTGACATAAGGTTTCTTTCAATTTTGTCACAGGTCTTTACTGATACTAACTTGAGGACAAAGTTTTAAGTACTGGTTTGGCCATAGAGGATAATAAATGATATGTATATAAGAAAACATAAAGCTTTCCTGTAAAATGTCAGCCCTTTCCTAAGTGAAGATGGTCACTGGAAGCTTCAATTTTATTTCCCAGACTGAGAACTTCACATAAGGCTGAAGATAGCTCAGTCCTAAAATGTCTTAAGTGCCTAAATCCCTGAGCAGATGTGAAAAATGTCACCTCAGCTTATGATTTTTGAGCTGCCTGCTTCATGCTTTATTACAGGAAAAATGGCTCATTTCATTATATGCCACAAGCCTTTGTTTTGAAAGTTTCTGTAGAAGGCAAATAGTCAGGAAGTTTAGATGTATATGCTTCAGATTTGTCAGTGTTTCATGATGACAGAGAATGAATTTTGTTTCATAGATCTCAGAAAGAATTTCTCCAAGCAACTGAAATATGAGGCTGTGTTTGTGTTTTAGGATGAAAACAGTGACACAGAAGATGGGGTGGGGAAGGGATGCTCGATTGCCACTATATCATAATGGATTCAGTGGAATACTTAATCCAAGATGCTCCTGATAAAGCTCTTTACAGCTGCAACCACAGTAATTTAATACACCTCTGATAGATTGTCTTCATATTGAAATAGCTGCTTGTGGGGACGTTTTGACCTTCACAGGACACAAAAATCCTGCTGTGTTGCTCTTGCATAGGCTTCCTGCCTAGTCACACTGCCTGTCAAAATACAGCAGAATTCCTGCCTGCTCTTTGAAAATTAATGCTCTATTTGGGAGGTATTATCAAGTGGACTCAGAGAAATGGGGGAGAACTTGTGTGATTGAGTAACAGGGGGCTCCCGTTTCTTGGCAGTAGGTGCAGTGTTTGTTTCTATTTGTGAAAGGTGATCTGCATTTAGCAGCTCTGCATTTGGATTTCTGCTGGTTTTGTGCTTCTGATTCCTTTTCTTTGCCTTGATTTGATCATTATTTCTTATCTTCTTTCTCTTGACAGTTCACCAGTGCAGCAGAAAACTTCTGTTCACTTGGATAATGGTGAATATTGGTCTAGTCGTGCAGCTGCATACAAAGGGAAGTCTCACAGAGCAATCTTTGAAGAGAGTCTCTCAAAAATATACAGAAACATGTACCAAAAAGCTTCTGGCACTGTTTCAGACCAAAAAATGCACTCCTGATAGCAATTCACCTGAAAATGCACAGTGTTCAGGTTTTTAAGTAAACTGTTTTTATATAAAAAATATCTGTACTCTATTTTTAAAGTATCGTTATGGTTGGGCATGGTTTTGGAGAAATGGGGTTGTCACCTGGGTTGCTAAAAGAGAACTATTGACATCCCCTTGTGTGTCTGTCCTCTCTCCCAAAAAAAAACCCACCACACCAAACAACAGCAACTAAGGCCCTCCACAGTTAATCAGATGGTGTTGCTTCTCTGAGACTATGAAAGGAAAGTCATTTGAAGACTAGTTGGTCTACTGTACATTCCTGTCATTGCATCAACTCAGGTTTCGGTAGCAGCCAATTCTTATTAAAGAATTAAAGCTATTTAGTAATATAAACAGAATTAGTGGAAGCAGCAATGTCCTGGTGTTAAGAAAAGGGGTATAAAGAGGAAAGTGAATGTGAATTTTGATTTAAAGTTGTTCCATCTGGGGCAAAGGGAATAGTTTTCTAGAAAATTGCCTTTGGATTGTTTATTTTTGAGAAGGGTGGAAACTCTGATACTGACTATAGACATGATTGCAGAGTGGTTTCAAGCTCCTTTGCTCACAGATTTTCTAATACTGTCAAATTTTAAAAGAAGCCCACCTAGCCCAGCAGCCTTTTTATCAGAAGAAAGGTCATCTTCACACACCCTGTGCATTTTGAAGTTTCCAGGTTCTCTTGAATGCAGCCATGACATTTGCCAATGCACTTGTAATTTTAAAAAATATGAAGAAGAAATTAATGTGGATGGGGGACATGCTTGAGCTAGTCAGCAAGCTCCTCATACACCCTAAACAGGCCTTCTGAAGCTCCTGCATCACAATCCCACCTAATTTGGAGCCCTTCCTTCCCAGTCTGCTGGGATCCTGTTGGCAGAAATCGCATCGTTTTTGCTAAAGGCCACCAAATGTTCATCAGCAGTTTGATGCTCTCCCCAGGGGTGGAACCTTTTCAGCCTTGCATTGAACAGATCCCACATTAACAGACCAGGGCAAATTGCCCATCTTTTGAAAAGCAGACTGTTTTAAAAGGGCAAGAGTGTCCATCTCCTGCTTCCTTGCAGAATGTGGGGAGAAAAAAACAAATGCCTGTTTTGGCTCCTTTCCTGGCTGAGCGAACAGATTCAGTTACACCAGTGCCATTTTACCTGTTATGAATGGATAAAGGATAAAGCTAGCAGTACAGATGGCAGAACATATGACTGTAACCTGCCAGCATGCCTAGATAAACAAAAAGTTGGGCTACTCTGCCTTCCATCGTTTAATGCTGAGACAACATAATTGATTTGAGGAAGCAGTTGGTGAGCAATGATGCTAGTGGGGAAGCACGTTGAAAGGCTTTGTGCTTCCGTTTCAGCAAAGGGGCTCTCAGAGGAGGTGTCTTGTGTACAGGCATTTCTGTTCCTTGTAACTGTTGAACCAGTTGAAGTGGATTAACCCTGATAACTTCCTGTCCCTGATGCCATTTAGCACATTAGTGCTTTCAAAGGGCATTAGTTGCGCATTCTTATGCTGTGGGTAAGTGGTGAGTCACTGTGTGAAGCAGTAGCAGCACAATTGTTTGCAGAAGTGGAAAGTAAAACTTGGCACTAGCTGTGCCAATGAAGGCGTGGTGGTCATGGATTATTGTGCTACCCCTACCTGGTAGTCAGCTATTCATTAGTCTGTTTCTGTGACCTCATATTAGTCCCTAAAGGAATAGGTTATTTCTCCTTGCTGTTCAGGAAAGTAGGCATGTTCAAATGGATCCTAAATAGCCAGGGCATATTCTGAGAGATACTCTCCAAGCTTTTGGTTCAAAATGGATCTACTGAAATCTGAAGGTTGCTGCTGTGTGTTTGAGCCAGAAGTGTAATTGTTCTTCTCACGGTATCCCAGGGTTTCAATTCAGTATTCTGTGTTTTTTCCCTCCCCAGTATAAGAACCCAGTAAAAGTTAGTTTCCTGGAGACTGGCAGCTCCCCTTTGGCCTGGTCTGGTTCTGTGACATAAAAGTACTGTGCCATTTTTCCCTCCCCAGCAATCCAGTCCCTGTTTGTTCAATATATAAGAAGGCTGGAATGCTGAAGCTTTGGGATTTTTTGTATGGATGAGTAAGGACACAAGTGGCCATGAATTCAGGACACAAGGGGATGAGGAAGGTTGGAGGTCACTGTCAAAAAACAGGGTTAGGTTTTTGAGAATGGGTGATGTATCTCTGTTTAATTCCCTAGCTAAAGAAAGGATGCCTATGGTAATATGGCAACCTTTGGTTTTTCATCAAAGATAAAAAATAATTTCAGAAAAGGTGAAAACTGGATGAGAGGGAAAAAAAAAGGTGTCATCTATTGAATTTTGACCGGTATGAATATTCTCACTGCAGCTTTTGCAGGCAGCATAACAAGAAACGAAGCAGAAAGACTGAGTGTCTTTGGCCCTGCTCCAGCTGCGAGGGGACATAGTATGTCTGATACCTTTCTGAATCAGCTGCTGCAGGATCTGTGTTTCTCTGGAGTCAGAGCCATCCCACAGCTTATTCGCTAATACAGCCAGAATGTTCCCATCCCAGCACCGTGCTGGAAATCCAGTTTGTTTAATGGAAAACTTTTATCAGAAATGTGACTTAAGACCCAAATTGCTGTGATCTGTTCGTAAAATCTGCAAGCCACTTCATTTTCAGAAGCATTTGGCCCCTTCCCTGTTTGCTCAGCTAACCCTCCTATTAATATGCACACAGCTCAAGTGCACCGAACGCTGCTGCTCCTCTGCTGCTGCTGTGGGTGATAAGTACGGGTTCAGGCAGTGAACCAACACAGTAATAAACTGTAATTGTTTAGTGCACCTTGCCTTCTAATGCAATTTAAATCCCTTCTATCAAATGCAAATTTCCAGGTTCCTGATTAGAGCTTTAAATAGCATTTTCTCTGCTCATTCCTTATCTTTCGCCATCCACAAAGTGGTCTGTCAGTGACAGTGGGATGGCAGGATTTCCTTTCCCTCCCAAAGGAAAGCTGCCTACTCACATCTAGAAATAATGGGCTAGATTAAGAGTGAAGTAGTGTTTTTCTGTAGAGTCTGTCTCTTGCTCTCCCCAAGTTACTATAACACATGAGTATTCTCACCACATGCTATTCAGTGTTCGTTGTTGCTTGCAGTGTGCAACCACTATTTGAATCACTTTCATTTTAATAAGTCAGAGTCTGCTTCCCACTTGCTCCCTTCTCTCTTTCCTACAAATAACTCAGTATAATTTAGGATGCTGGGGTGGCTTTAGGCAAACTACCTGCCTGTGTTTAGTAGAAATGCAAATCCTTTGCTGAGTAGCAGTTGCTTTGGAAATCACTCAGTCATTGACCTGTTGTGGAATAAAGGCAAAAATGTCAAGCTCTTTAATGATTTGCCTTATCTAAGTTTTCAACTGGAAGAAGGAAAGCTTAAATTGGTTCACTGGGGACAAGAGGTATAGGGATGGCAAGAATAATGGGAACAGGTGGGAGCAACTCTGTAAGATAGATGGGCAGCAGAGTTTATACTCCAAATCTGAGCAGCTTAGAAAATGATGGGGCTGTTTTTTAGCTAGTGCATCATGTTTGAATTTTACTATTACTTAGCAGGCTGCCAAAGCAGTGAGTGGAGAAAGAAATCTACCCATGGGTGTTGGGAATCTATTTTTTGGGTAAAATAACAGAATATTTCTCTCTGCTCAGTGTTACATTGTCTATTCCAAACTCCTTTTCATTATTACCTCAGCTATAAAGTTTGTGCTCCATTGAAGCTTAATTAAATGCCTGTGAAGTGCTTTGGAATCCTGAGGTGAATGTTACAGAAGTTATTTTGTGGAAGCCTGACCGAAAGGCCCATCTCATCTCCAGGTTCCTAAAAAAGGCTTTATTTTAATTTTCCCAGGTTTATTATGTTTTAATCAGACAATTATTAAGCAAGTCTTAATCTTATCAATATAGAAACCTGTTAAATCTAAGAGATGTCTGAAAAAGATAATTAACTGCTTTACTGCATGTGCTTTTAAGAGCTAATCTTTACAGCTGGTATCCTCCTCGGCCTCTGTCTCCTAGATGATCTGGGTTGATCCTACTCATACTGATTGCTCTCATGATATTTTTAAGTTATTTATTTTTTTAATTTTTTTTTAAATTTTTTTTTCTTGTTGTTCATTGTGGTGTTTTAGTGCCTCCTGCTATGGGTAGTAATCAGCACTGTTCATAGAATCATGGAATGATTAAGGTAGGAAGAGACCTTAAAGATCATCAGGTTCCAACCTCCCTGCTGTACATTTACATCATTTGTTCTTATCCTCTCCCCAGGAGCAAGAGGGTGTGTGCAGCTTGACAGTGGAAAAGTTTGTCTGGGGTGGCATAGGGTTGTCAGAGAAAGGAAGCTGGAAGGAATCTCTGCCTTTTTAGCCCATGTGCAAGGAACAGCTTATGTTATCATTCTGCTCTTCATACTTTTTAAGCTTGAAAGTGTTTTTTTAAAAACTGAACTATGCAAACAGAATTCTTGGCCTTTTATCAGTGGTCACTTAACTATAAATCTTGTAATGTGGAGCCTCTGGGTCATAGGAAAGCCTGACATGATGTTAATTAGTTACTTCAATGGTTACATAGTGATCGTGATCAAGATGCTGATAAGAGATTTGTTTAGTATTTGAGGAATTTGGGGAAACTTTCAAATCAATTAAATTTAGCTGCTTGGCTCCAGTGAAAACAATTGAAGATAAGAGAGAACAGCACTTGTGTGAGTGGTGTTAATGAGCTACCTCAGTGACTGACTTGGTGTCTGATTTAGGTGATGGTCTCTGGTAGCAGCAGGGAACCTGTCTTTGCCCAGTTCTTTTCAGTAGCAACAAATAAACCAGTATTGTGGGAATTGAACAAAAAACAGCTAATATTCCTATTTCTGTTGCACAGTGAACTATTAAGCACAAGCCCTATTGATTACATTGGTTTCTACTGCTTGTCCATGGAATTCAATTTG